AGAGAATGCAGCTTTAACACATGAAGCTTTGGCTTCACTCAGCAGAATCAGAGGTTGCCTCCTGGTCTCAACACACTCCAACAGACTAAAGAACAAATAAACAACACGATCAAACCCCTCTGCAACCTCTGCTTTCTTAGATGGACATTGCTTCTATTTTGTTATGTTCTATAAATGTACTATATTTATTCTCTCTCTATCTTGAGTTTTCAGCGGTTCCTCTTCTCATCCATCTTTAGCGGCTCAAACCATTAACGGGCAAATACGGTGAGACTCCTCGCCGGCTGTAAAAACAGGGAGCACTTCCTGAGTAAACTCCCCAAAGAGCTCTCAGGCACAGCACAGCTCTGTGAGGCTGTACATCGGCTCAGCGGTTCTCCGAGCTAAATGCTAACACGTTGATGTTTAGCAGGTGAGCGTTAACTCGAGAACATCCAGGCACGTTCCAGATGATCGGCAGCAGCAGGAGGCGATGACACAAAGCGGCAAACAAGAGAACGGTTTCCAGCAGCCTTTAAAGAATAAAGTTCCATCCTGTTACGGTAGTTTACAGACCATCTTCAGATATATATATATATATACACTTCCTAATATACACTATTAATATACACTATTAAATTGCTGTTTGTTTTAACTTCTATATAAATTACATTTATTATTCATTATTTATTTCAACAACACAATATGTGTTTGTCAGCAGATTAAACAACATGAGACTCGACAATCTAGTGTTAATTAAATATTACAATTACACAGAAATGTGTTTTATTTTCTACAGAACTTGCAGGTCGGGATCCCGTCGGACATGAATGTATCAGCGTGTGTTTCATTGTGATCAATTCTGGCTCATCTCCAACAAGTCTACTCGCTGCCTAACACAGAGTACAGCTGAGGCTTGTGGTTGTAAACCAAAGTATTGGACACTTTAAAATGATTTAAGTTATTACCAGAAATTCAGTTAATTTAACTGCAAAGCTGGAGGAAACTAGATGAAGTCATTGAGATGCATCAATGTCTGCAACTATTGCGTCCGTCCTCACAAATGAGGAACTTGCCAGAGTGATAAACGTGACCCATCATTAAAGAATCATCCTCTGAGGAGCAGGCGTATCCCAACAGAAGCAGATGTGAGGAACACGGAGCTAAAAGAAGCCCAGCAGGTGGTCGACCACTAAGAACCACGAGGAAAATCAGCTCAGGTAACAATGTTTGCTCCAGAATCAAGATGCTACTGCAGATCCAAATAAAACATCAACGCAATTAAATGCAAAACTGCAGCAGCTGATAGCAAAGATACAGCACCTCAGCATCCCAGGAGATAACTTCTCTACTCACATCCCGACAGGAGTAATACTTTGTTATTTTATGTACATTCATCTTCTGCTCTCTATCATGTTGTGATATTTTATTCAGAAGTTGGCTTCCAATAAGCCCAGAGGGTTTTCTGCCTCCTCCGCTACGTTTGCGTAGAGGACTTAAACTTAAAGCTCCACGGACGTATTCTAAAGGAAGGTTTACCTTGATGCTGGTGGGTCAACATCAGAGTCGTGGTGAGGAGACACAAGTAAGTGAGTAAGTCCATCCTGTGAGTCCAGGTGATGAAAAATAAATAAAAATCTGCCCGAAGAGACTCGGGTCTTCACGTAAAACTCCCTTTTCTCCAGAAGTAAGTTGTGTATACGAACAACACCGCTGAATCAAACTCCCGAGCCTGTGAAGGTTCAGTCAACACAAAAGTTCACAAGAAAAACGTCCACTAGATCCAGAGACCTGAACAGGTTTACCACCCAGGAGCAGAGCCAGAGTAATGCTGGGATCCGGAGGGGCTCCGAGGCTGCTGTGGTTTCCAGACGGAGGGAGGATAATGTGAGCTGTAGGAGCTGTACCTTAACGGGAGGAGGAGGAGGAGGAGGCTGGGTCTGCAGCTGAGACACCTCCACAGCTTGCATGTCATTAGTCAGGGCCTCCTCCTGACCCGTGTGACGCTTGTTTAAGTCTCTCACTGTGATCTCAAATCACTTTGGCTTCTGACTCTTTGCTTCTCTGAAGTCTCCATGCAGAGTCCAGACCACATTCCTCCCAGTGCGTCTGAGGCAATGAGATGTAGGAATGGTGTCCTGTCTGAGCACGTCGCTGTAATCCAAACCGATGTCAGTGATCGTTTCCATGTTGTAGCAGATCAGATCATCTGGTATCTAGACTTCTCTTGAGGAGAAACATGGCTCCGTCTTGTGCTGAATGGGACTGAGATGAAGGTTTGAGGTTGACCGTGGCTAAGTGGAGAGCTGGGCCGTCCTTCAGTCAGAGGATCGGCGGTTCGATCCCCGGCTCCACTAGCCGGATGTCAATGTGTCCTTGAGCAAGACACTTAACCCCAAATGTCTCCCGTAGCTGAGCCGAAGGTGTGTAGATAGATACTGAATTGTAAGTCTCTTCGGATAAAAGCGTCTGCTAAATGACTGTAATGTAAAAGTCTTCCTCGTCATCGTCAACATGCAGGTTTCAGTTGCTCAGTGACGGCAGTACTGCAACCCCCCAAACACCTGGAATATAAAGATGAGAGCAAAGTTTCTTCAGATGCAACAAGAGATTTCGGAAAACAGCCTGATCTCACAGGAATGCGTGAAATGACCAAAACCTCTTAAGAGCCCATTACGAGGTGATGGCACAGCGGAAACAAAGACAATTAAAGTCCATTCGGATGCTCTGTCGTGGTGGACATAGAAATATGTTTAAATCAGAGTTAGCTGAGTGAGGGAGTCCGGGTGTGTGGATGATCAAACAGGACTTTCACAAAGGAGACTCGAGTCTGTGTCGTGTGAAACTAAAACTCTACATTTTTTCTACATAAGTCATGTAACAAACGTACCCTACTGATCAAAACCCAAAGCTGTTAAAGTTAGTTCACGTATTTCTGTGAAATCACTCAGATTTGTTGAACTACAACGTTAACAGCTGTCGCTGGTTAAAATGACAAATATACTTTCAGGCTTTTTATCTTCTGCTTCTCGTCCTATCTGCAGGTTGCAGGTTCAGAATGTGGAGATTAAATCCGGCTGCCAAATAAAACATGTTTGTGTTTTTGAGTTATTTCAGCTTCGCAGATGTTGAAAAGTGAACCTGATGAGATTGAATAACTGGTTTTGATTTAGATTAAATGCATCCAGACGTCATCTAAAAACTATTTGAATACTTGAACACTGTTGAGGTTCAACAGCAGCTTTGGTCGAGTGGAGAGAGAAGAGAATGGAGCGTCTGCTGCTCATTCAGCTCTCACTGGAGACGTTGACAGAGGATACTGGGGAATGAAGAGTGAATCGTATTTCTATCCACCAGCCATCAGTTCAGTGTGCTGCTTTCAGCTGCTTTGGCAGAAGATACCTGACGAATGGGTTTCTGATGGAGTTCTGAGTTCATCTGGAACAAACTTCTGAACACTGATTCAGGAAAATGATAGAAGCACAAAAGGTGGACTTTTTGTTTTTTGTCTTCCGTCTGTTTTTGGGCCCGTTTAGGGGAAGCTGTCTCGCTGTCTCGCTGTCTTTCTGTCAGTCTAACCGAGGAGAGACCGATGCGGTGAACCAGATCCATGATCGGATTAACGAGGACAACCCAAACATCTGGGAGGCAGATACTATGGTCAGCCTTTTCGGGTTTCCCTAAAATTGCTCCACCAGATCTCGTGAAATGTTCTCAGATGAGCTCGGTTACCTAACGAGTAAATAGCAAAGAGGAAGTGTTTCACCACCAGGACAGGAAGCGTGACCTTCTTTACTTTAAACTCTTACTGCATCGGCTTTAAAGAAGTGGAAAGTTTCTGTTTGAACTTTCTCAAACTCAAACCAAATTACTTCAAATGGAACCGGGTCGACATGTTGGGGAAAAACACTGATTTGTTTTTGTTCAGAGAGATGAGAAGCTGGACGAGGAACATTTATGTCGTCTTCTGAGACAGACGGACAGTGAAAACATCGACCCTCATCCCAGGATGTCACCCATCAAGTCAACAATTCTGCAAAAACCCGGTTCATTTGTTTAATTCTCGCTTCTTATATCTGCACACGGCATCCACGACATGGTTTTGATTAGTCAAATAAACTCTGCTTAAGTTAGGGTCAGGATTAAACTCTTACGCATACTGTTCCACGTCCTGAATGGAGACAGATATGTTACAAACCCAGCTAGCTGACGGCTTGTTTATGGGTTATAATTAACGTGATACGTGTTAATTAGGGAGATCCAGAGGTGCTGGTAGGTGTGACAAAGTGAGGTGAGCTGTTTCCATCTACTGCTAGTCTTTATGCTAAGCTAAGCTAACCATATCCTGACTCTTTACTTAATCATACCATGTTACAACATGATAATGTGTATTATTTTGTATTAAATATGGTAATATTTGTCCTTCCAGGTTGTGCTACATGATCTTTGTGCCCATAAGAAGCTTTAGATTAACACTTCAGGAATCTCACTCATGGAATCATTTTGTGGAGTCAGTAAACAACGCACACTTTGTATTCTGCTGAAGAGAAGTGAAGGTTTCAGCTCTCTTGGTGCTGAGAGTGACTTCATCTCGTTCAGGAGAAAATAAGCAACGCAGAGAGTGTTTGTGCGAGTGTCTGCATGTCATTTAGCCGGCTGTCTGACTTCACATCAGGTCTTCAGCGAGATAATTAGAGAGCAGAGGGAAGCTGAAAACAACAGCCTGTCGCTGCCATTGCCCCCGAGGTAGAGCGCAATTATAGAGGAGGAGGTGAGATGATGGGGGGGGGGGGGGGGGGGGGATGGGAAGAGGTAGTAAAAAGAGGAAAAGGTAGAGAGAGAGAGAGAAAGGAGATCAAGGGGGAGGAAAGAGACAGTTTCATGATTCAAGTCTTAAAAGTGAGAAGAAGAAAAGAAAAATATAAAACATTAAAAGAGAAATAATGAAAAACATGAATCAACTGTACAATGTGTTGATAAAAAGTGTAAATATATCCGTAGGACGGGCAAAATATCTCAACAGACCGAATAATAACTTTTCTCTATATGGTGAATCGACAGCACAGCCCACTTTAACAACAACGTATGTGTGAGTTACAACCCGGTCAACAGGAGAAACGTTTCATAAACACGTTTCATATCAGCTTCGTATCGCGCTCTCAAAAACACAATGAAATGTGGTTAACGTTGTAAAACGATCAGCTTTAAGCAACAAAACAAGTTAAAGTCAGAGAAAGATCATGCTTCATGTTAACATAATAACCAAACAGCGTAACAACTTTCTTACGCAACGTTACATAACAAGCGTTTATTTCTGGGACAAGAACAGCGGTTTCCAGGGTGAAAGTCCTGTTTGTTTGATTCTCCCACCTGCCCTTTGTTAAACTTGTTATTACACCTCCAAACCTTTAATAAAAGTAGCTCGATATACGACCTCACTTGTTTCGACGAAAAGCAAAAAAAAAAAAAAAAACACAAAACGTCAACATTTAACTTTTTCTTTACGCCAACATTTTTGATCCTGACGAGTGCGTTTGCTAAAACAGTGAACCGCCGTTGAAGAATAGATTGTGGTCGATCAGAAGCAGCAGCTGTTGTTGTTGTTGTTGACATTGAAAGAGCAGTCTCCATTATACGGACGTCAGAGTCAAAGAGCTCCAACAACATTTGGTAAACATGTAAATCCAGAAGCATCTATTTGTTGACTGATGGTCTGAAGTGTGCTGCACATGCAGACGGAGAGCAAAGTAAGATCCAACAACCGATGAACTCAAACCTCCTTTGAGAACTGAAATCATCCGCCTGAAGCTACAAAAAGAAGAGACATAACTTCAGTCCAGACTGAAACACTTTAAAACTGTTAAAGGATTGTTTTGATATTTAGTTCAGACTTTCAGGATCAACTATAGTCACTTCAAAGATTGAGCTTCACTAAGCAGAAACTAAATGCATCCACGTGACGAAGCAACAGTCAGAGAAAGTGACGCACTTTATCCAAAGCTGACCTGGAGCAGCCGGTTCCACCACCGATCATTGGTCCCACTGAAGAAGCACTCGTACAACAGATTCGCTCCATAGAAGCTTTTACGGTTGGATTACGAGAACTTTCCGCATTTAGCAATATTCTCTAATTTTGTGGGATTTTTTGTAACATCTTTTTAATTAAAATAGTATTAGTAAGTTATACATTTAGAATGTTTTCACTCCCTTCATTGAGGGGCCCCTATTGGATGCATGGCGCCCCAGCAGTCGTATGTGTCATAAGTGCTCCAGTAAGAAAGAGAAAAAGGCATCAAATTAAGACAGAAATGTAGCAATAATCATGGAGCAGAATGTAAAGAACAACCAGTCAATCTCTTCAGCAAATGCCCCAAAACAACATATGTTTACGATCAAGTGACGGAGCTCTTCATGACTCTTGACTGTCAACATTAAAGCGCCTCAGAGTCCTCAGAGGGAGGTCGTGGTGATCATCCAAACGTCAGAGGTGCTTTTTCCTTCCAGCAGTTGTGGTTTCTTTGTGACCACCGTTGTTCCCCGACTCTGAGCAGAGAAGTCATTTTGACCGAAACCATAATTTTTCCATTGCCAAGTTGTTTTTGTGCATCACAAACAAACCT